GCACAAAGTTAAACATAAGAGTTTTCAGCTGAATATGAGGAAGAACTTCTTTACTTTGAGGGTGACGGAGCACTGGAACAGGCTGCCCAGGGGGGTTGTGAAGTATCCTTCTTTGGAGGTACTCAAAACCCACGTGGATGATGTGCTGTGCAACCTGCTCCAGGTGACCCTGCTTTAGCAGAGGGGGTAGACTAGAGGATCTCCAGAGGTCCCTTCCAACCCCTGCCATTCTGTGATTCTGTGATAAAGGGGCAGATGTAGGGCGAAAGAGCCCGGCTGCCCTGTTCTGGAGCTGCAGTTGCGGGAAAGAAAGCTCTTGTGCCGAAGGTGACATGAAGAAGCGTGTGGCGGAAGAGAGGGAGTCCTGCTTGCTCCCCCCGTAGGGCATTTGTCGGGAGCCAGGCTGCGTGAGCTGCAGCCTTGTCAGATCCTATCAGCGGGGCGAGGGTGGGCTGGGGCAGGCGTGCCTGCGGTTGCCCCATCGCTGCCTCCAAAATCACCTCGTACTGCTCCGGCTTCACTTCTTGCCTCATTTTTTTTTTTTTTAACATAATAATCACAAACGTTTCACAATTTCTTATTTCCCGTTTTGCTTTAAGGAGAATGTGCGAGCTATTTAAATGTGATCATTAAGACTGAAACTTCTGTGAGTCTGGGTTTCCTGGTTATCCTCCAGTTGCTCTGAGCTCTGCAGTTCTGTCTCCTCATTTCCATCTGAGATCTCACGCAGTTCAGCAGTGTTGGAGAGCCAGTCCCAGGAAAAACACCTACGGAGGGCCTGACTGCAATGCGCCGGTTGGCACAGCTTCTGTGGTGTCATGGGTCCTGTCATTATAAATGCAATAATTACCCTAATGACTGAACCGGTGCTGGGGCCTCTCATAGGTACGGTGATCAGTGTATTTGATGAGAAGGTGGAAATTCGGGTTAGGACCAGGGCTGTGTATTAGTCCTGTTTCTTCCTGCTACCTGCGTCTTCAGCCAATGATGAAGATTTGGCTGAATCACACTTTCTGGAAAGGCTTCTTATTTCTGGAGGATCCCCTGCTTTTTGCAGTTTCTTCAAGTGGTTACACAACCTTGCTTTAAAATAAACCCTGCTTCATTTCTGAAGTGTCTGGCAGCTCCATCCATTTTTGGGTCCTACTTTTCTTCTGCTTCATCAGAGTTGTTTCGTCCCAAATAACTTCTCTGTCTGCAAGAAATTGTTCTCCAGCACTGGCTTGCCAACAAAGGTGGGGCAGCAGGTAGCAGAGCAGTGGTCTCTGTGCTGCTGGCAGCAGTGTCCTCTCAGCAGGGTTTGGTTAGATGAGCATGCAGGGACCGAGGTGGGGTTTGCAGCCCATGCTGGGCGGTGTGCTGCTGTGATCCCCCTGCTCTCAAGCGTCTGGGCTAGATAGGGCAGCCCTAGCTCTGGCAAATCTACATAATGACATTAACCTCTTCACAAGTACATTTGCATTACAAGGGAGCTTTGTGAATAACAAAAATGATGGAGTTTTTTTAGATTTTCTCTGGAGGGCTTCTTTCTCACACCTCAAAGCATAAGTGAGCAGTAAATGTCCTTGCTCCTGTTTATACATCCCGGACATGCATCAGCTCTCATTGCAGCCAAATGCTCTGGGAGTTTCTGTTTGGCAATTTGCAGCCCTCTTTGGATCTCTGACTTTCCAGAAGACATTCCTCCGTTTGAAGTGCTCCTTGCGTTCCTCCTCCCCTGAAGCTGACCTTTTGGTTTGGCTGTATTTTAATCCCATTTTGTTCAAACAAGCGGACTGTGGAATCCACACTGCTCTGATGGTCTCGTCCTTGTGGCTACTTACTGATCTACCAGATGTTGGCATCTGCAAGTACTGTCAGCACTGCTTTTGATTTTAGGTCCTCGATGAGAATACAAAATAGTACTCACCCTGTCTCTGCGGAGGTTTGTTAGGAACTCCCTCAATTAGTCATGATTTTCCCCATTCATAATAACTGTTTTGAGATCCCTTTGCTGCTGTTTGCTCCTCAAGGGCTGACCTTTATCAGAATACTGCATTCTACGTGAGCAATGCCATGAGAGTCTATTACTGTCCTGTTAATCTCCTATACTTGGTTGCTAATCAAAGAACAGAGAGCTCTGTTTGACTAGACTTCTTTCCACATGTTGGCTAGCACTGGACAGTAATTAAAGCTACAATACCTTTAAGTTAGAAAACCTGAGGGCAAAACCTCTGTATTTTCCTTGGGGTTGTCAGACTAGGCAACCTATGGGTACTTGGGCTAATTCTGCTATCACCCTCGTTTAGGCTCTGACCCTTCCAGCCTCTTGGAATTCCCTCAGCCTTACCAGGCTTATCAAAAATGAGTATCAGCTGGAGAGAAACTTTATTGGACGTATCTCTGGGAACTCTTGGACTTGATTTTTAAAAGGTTTTAGGTCCTTTCCATTTACTAATGTATGGGAACGCACTTCAGCATCTCAGTGTGGTGCCAGAAGGGGACTTTCCAGGGATGTTTATTAAAAACTTATGCACGTCTCCATCGTTATTCACAATGCTATCATCCCCATCTAGTAGTTGGATGCTGCTACTAGCACGTGACTTTGTCCCCAGTGATTTGAGAAGAAAAAATAGTGAAACATGGACTCTACTGTCTTTACTGTCTCCCACTGTTTTACTTACGCGGGCTGTTTCCCCCATTTTTCCCTGCTTTCACTCTTACTTCAGGCTGGCTGACAGCACATCCCAGCTCAGAGGCATTCCACTTGCTATGGAATGTTTGAGGGAAAGACACTGAGGGCGATCAAACACTAGGAAAATGTCTCACGTAACAAGTTTGAAAAATATGAGAATACTTTATTAGTAAAATGACAAATAGGGGGAGACATGGCAAAAGAGCAGAAAATAATGGATGAGACAGAGAAGGTGGATTGGATGCCGTTGTTCCTCCACCTCTGACTGCAAGAAAAAGGGATTTTCTGCTTCATAGGGATGAGACTGATCGATTTTAAGGCGTACTTGTCCATATAATGTGTGAGTAGATGGTAGAACTCCACATGGCAGGGAATGTCAAGGATGTGGCAAAATGCAAAAAGGTACTGTAAATACTCCCAAATTATGCATAATAAACATTGAAGAAGAAATACTGTTTAAAGGGCTCTCATCTGAGGTTTTTACAAAATGCATTGCATAGTGGCTGCTCGGAGGCAGGATGCTGGAGCTGGCTTCTCTGTGATAGACTGGAGTATCCTCATGGCTTCCTGAGGCCCTGAACTCTCCTCTGCGGACCTTGAATGCCACTCAGCTGTCCATCAGCCCGGCTTTGGCCTTGAAGCTGTTGGCCAAATTTGAGAGAGGGAGGGAGCTGCAAGGAAGCTGCCTCGCTATGTATTTGGTGGCAAGAGGGAGAGGAGACCCAAAGCAATGCCCGTGTTGAGGGAAGGGCAAGGACAACTCTTCACTTCTCAATTTGCAGCAGCTAGCTGATCAGCAAAAGCTTTGTTGGGGCTGGGCCAGGCTGGGCTTTTGCGTGTGCAATGGTGTCTCCTTCTCCTCAGGGCTTCTACGGAGAAGATGCGGGAAAGTTAACATTGCTGAGATGTGTCGGGGATGTTCAGAGGCAGGGAATACGCATCTGTAGGTATCCAGGCTCTGCGAGTAATGTATCCTATGGAATGACTTGTTTTAACTGAAGTTTTAGGTGGGGAAGAGCTCGTAGAGAAGGCATGGAAGTGGTGCTGGGCACTGACTTTTGCGGACTGAACTTCAGTATGTTTTTTTGGGGCTGGTGAGAAATTCCCTAGTGGTTGCAGACTCCGTGGGACTATTGCTTCACCTGAGGAGGGCAGTGACTCTGTTGGCCATGGTGGAATTGCAGGGGGCAGCTCATCTCAAACTGAGCCTGGACAGAACTTGCAGGGAAGCCTGGAAGGACGCACACCTTCCGCCTCCTCCTCCTCTTCCTCCCTGTACACCCTGTGCTCATGGCTGAAGCATGGGCGAACAGCTGGGGGTTCACTCCCTCCAGGCTGATGGTGAGGAGCTGGTGTGGTTGCTGTGGTGGGTGGTTGCTCCCTTGAGAGGAGCAAGAATTACCTTCAAGGACCAGGCATTTCCTGGGGGATATCTGAAGTTGGGAAATGTGCAGGGAGTGGGGAGAAGAGAAGCTGTGCAGCAGCCAAACTGGGGGAGGAGAGAGGAACAGAACAGATGGGAGGGGGAGGCAAAAGAGGGGTGGAAAGCAGTGCACATACATCAGTGACCAGAAGTGACAAACTACTCTTAGATTAGATGATTTAAAATGCACAGACCTTTTCCTGATACTGCTATTCTGCAGAGCTGCTGGCAGACTGAGGGCTTTGCTCTTTAATTAGTGAGGAATGGGGCTGCTAATTGGCAGAATTAGTCTGAGTCATGGGCTCAGCCTGGGCTGCAGCTCGGGAGCAGCAGGACCCACGGCTGCAGCTCTGTGCTCCGGTGAAATCCAGGCCCTTTTTGCTCTGCAGCATGTCATCCTTCTGCTGTACAAGGAGTCGATGTTTGTTTCTGTTATCCCTGCTGCTGTTGCAGGTATTGTCCCTCTTCCCAGCTGCTCTGTGCTGGCTGCTGCCAGCTCAGCTGTTCTTGCTTCTGGCTCTCTCCTACCTGTGGTCTCCTGGGTTGCCCCCTCCCTCCCAGCAGCTGGTCCAGGTTTTGCTGATCAGGTATAGCCCAGGGACTGGCTGTATGATTTCATTTCAGCCTGACATCAGAAAAACAGCAAGGTTGCATTCCTTCCCATATGGGTCTAGGGTGTCAGGGACTCCCCCTCCCCACCAATCTTATATCCATTAGCTAAGTCTCTTTGTATCTGTCCTATCACTTATTCATGATCATCTAGATCAATCTGTTGAAAAGTGCATTTATTGAAACCTGATCCTGGCTTTGTCTGGTTTGCAAGGGCCTTTCTAGCCCAATCTCTGCTGTGTGGTTTACAACCACAAAGCCCACTGAGGCTGGGAAGAGAGCTGGCTTAGCACAATGCTGCTTCCAAGCCTAGGAGCATATGGCTCCATCGCCAGGAAAAACACAAGGCTTGGATGCCCGATACCCGTTGAACAGCCTCAGTGTGCCAGGAGGACAAAGGTATGTATGTAAGCAGTACTTATAGCTGAAAAACTTATAACACCCGTGGAGATTTTTGACCTGGACTTACACAGTGCAGAGGGGTCTGTTTTTGAGACATCCCTGCCCCTTGCAGAATGGCTGCAGCAGTGATCAACGACAGTTACCTGAACTAAGGCACTGTGAGAGCCTCCTGTAGTGTTGTGTTTGCAGGCTGATCTGGAGGCTGAGAATTATGTTTGCTCACAAAGAAAACACCACAAAAACCTCCCATAATGGGAACAGAGTGGACAATTGTGCATGCATTTCATATGCTGGAAGGTGTCTTCCAACCAAAGACATTCTTGCTCTCTGAATAACTCCTGGAAAATTGAATCGTCCATCATGGTTGTAGCCCCTGCTTAGCATGTTACTCTTGGGAGTTGCGCAGGTTTGTGCACAAGGAGGAACGGGGCGTTGATTGCTGTCAGAGAGAGGCAGTGCTGCTGTCTACTCAAATCCTGTACAGCTGGAGCAGTTCATCCTCGCTCCCACCTGGGGAGAAGCCATTTCCAGGAAAGAGGAGGTCCTGGAGAAATGTGAAGATTCCAGGGTAGTCCAGACTACGCAAATGAGAGGAGAGCAGGATACAATGACTTGTTTCTGAAGTGTGGTAGTTGCAGAGCAGTGGCTTGCTCACGACAATCCCTGAATGCTGGGCTGGGAGGCTGTGGAGAGGCACCTGAAGGCAGAGTGTTGTGTGTCTTGTCCTCTGGAGCTTGCTTTGCCTTCAGTAGCTTGATTGCTTATGAGAATGGTGCACCCACTGATGGCTACGCACCCTGCCTTAATGCATGGGTGCTTTCCTTCTGCAGTCAGTTTTCTGCTGCATCGGCCAAGGTGCAGATACATGCGTGTGAATGCAAGAGGGAACTCCTGGTATAACTCACTCTAAAAAAGGCACAGAAGGCCAAAGAAACCTTTGGCTTCAATTGATTTCCTGATATCGTGGATACCAGGAAATGTTACTGATCTCCAAGCCTAGGACCCCAAAGTGCCAGGTGTTACGTGAACGGAGAAAAATTACATCTTAGGGTTTGCTGTCCACAGTGGAAGGTAGCATGGCGCGAGAGCGAGGCGGTGCTGGTGAAACAGTACTCTCGGTATGCAAGCAACTTCATTTTCTAAATCATAACCCCATGTTACGGGATCAGTTTTCAGGATTGTGCTTTGCTATGCGCTTTGCGGCCAGGCCACTTCATGGACAGATCATCACTGAGGCCATAGGAATGAGGATGCTGGTCTCTAAGAGTTTGTTTAACATCTGAGGGACCTACCCTTGATGCAGGAACTCCGGTACATTACTGCTTTATTCTTTCTTGCAGTACCTGCTCTTGTTGCTGCACTTAAAACCAAAACAACCCCCCTAACAAACTCCTAGTTAAAAGAAGAATTGGGGGGGGCAGGGGGAGGGGATGAGCTAGTCTCATAAGGGGCTCAGGTTAATTGTATTATCAGCGTTCAGCCGGCTTTATTTGATGGAAAGTGGTTACACAAAATCAACACTCTGCTGTTCCTTATCTGTCTTTTAAGGTGTTATCTTCAGCTTCATTTTGTGAAACTGCTTTGTTTCTGGGTGTGAGTGAGACCTTCGGTATCCCAGTTTGAAAATTGAAGGGTTTTTACTCTTGTGCTTGGAGAGCAGGGGTTTTCCCATTGTTATTCCCATCGCCTGTGGTGCCTGCAGGAGCTGGGACCCACCAAGGCTGGCAGGTCACTGCTCTGCTTTGCTGCCCTTGCTTCTCCCATGGAAGTTCAGCCTTGCTGCCTGTCAGTTCTTGGAAGTTTTCTGCTCAATTTAATCCTTTCAACTCATCAATGAAATGTGTGGTATTGGGGGAGAGGGGAGTGATGTGAGGGCAGTCTCTTTGGTGTCGCCATCTGTTTCTGTATTTAGTCAAGTCTCCTTGGGGAATTTCATGTTTAGAAAAAAAGGGCTGATGGAAGGAGATGCACTAAAACAAACTCAGCCTTTCAGGAAACGGGGGCTATGCTGAGCAGAAGTTACAATAATTATTTGCTCTGTGGTTCCCATTCTGGCTGTCTTAGCACGACGTTCCTTTTGGAAACAACATAAATGGGTACAGTTATTCTACGGGGCAGAGGCAATTACTGTTGTACAAACAGCAACAACGTCAAAGTAAACTGAAGTAAGTAGTTCTGGGCAGCTGAGATGCCACAGGGCCTGTGAGTTTTGTCATGCTATATTCTACTTCTTGGGAGCACATGGAAGGATCTGCCGTAAGTCTGTAGGAAATGGTGCAATACTGTACAAAAGAACTAGGTCTCCTTTTGGGAGTATTTGTTAATACTTTTGCACACGGAATTCTGCTGGGAAAGGGGTCTGGGTCAGTCTGGACTTCCTGATAATGCTAGGTGGGTGTTGAAGATACCAGAGGGATCTCATTGTCCATCTCCCCTCTTTTTCTCTCTGAACGGTACCTAATAAATAACAGCAATCATGCCCGTGGAGTGTCTCTTGCGTCAGGTTATCAACTGCCTCTATCTCCAACCTAATTTCTGAGCTCAGGGAGTGGAAGGCATGTGTAACCTGGACCTCCTGGTCTGCAGGGACCCACGTAGGGTTCTGTGAGCATGGCACGCTCCTAATGCTGGGGTGTGTGTGTGTGCATGCGTGCATGCTGTGGCATCGGGGTGCAGTCTGTGTGGGAGGGTGCAGGCCTGGCTCCTGGTTAAACTGAGCTTGCCAGCAGGCTCTTATCTGTGTGCTCTTGGTTCACCGGTGTCTGAAGGCATTGAAATGCACGGTTGGGAATGAGTGTTAACAGTAAGTGTATTAGAAATGGTTTTCTTTCATCCCACTGTTGGGAACTCCAGACACAACTTTGCTGGTTTGTGACTCTTTGCTCTTGATACCATGAGGGTAGTAGGAGCCTTTGGTGAAAAAAGCATGAAGATCTTTTGCTAGCACATGTTGCTGTTCCTATGTGTGTGCGGAATTGTCAAAACGTGATTTGGGAAATGGATGATTTCTCAACAGCAATGTCTTGCCTAAATGCCTCAGGACACTTTGTCCCAAGCATCAAGAATCACAGAATGGCGGGGGTTGGAAGGGACCTCTGGAGATCATCTAGTTCAAGAGTTTAAGAAAACGTTAAGAGGATGTCATGAAGTGCTCCAGTATAGTTCCTTAAAATCTGTATTCAGTGCATTGCTTTCCAGCTCTCTGGGATCTTGAAACTTGAATCTGCAACATAAGAAAACATTTCTTTCTATTGCCATTGCTCACTGGCCACGAGGGTGATCTTTGCGCATCATCCTTGGGTTTAGGAACTGACCAGATGCACCGGTGCTTTTCATTCATGTGGTAAGAGGAAATTCATCTGCCTGCTGTGGAAACTCTAGAGCAGAATACAGCAGCAAAAGTAGCGTTATGTAAGCTTTTAAAAATTTCATTAAACCCAGTTCCTTTATCGGGAGGACTGGAGGTTGGCCAATAGACATACCTTCTACAGTCAGGAAAATCCAGGGTACTAAAGTGTTTAAAGGGACTAAAGGAGTTTTAAAAAAACCCCACCTAAACTAAAATAAATCATTAAAAATAGAATTAGCATTCCACATTTTGGCTAATGTAATATAGAAATACTATTGCATCTCTTCAAACATCATAAGCCTATAAGCAAAGAGCTAATGGTGCTGACGGGTTTAAGAGGATAGGAAGGGCTTTTATAATCAATAACTTAGGGGCAGAAAACAAATTAGGAAGAAAGTAGGTCTGTGAATCGATGAAAAGCAGGATGGCCTTAATGTTACTCAACAGCTCAGCACTTCGGCTTTTTCTCAATACTTGTCTAAGCAGAGTTTATGTGATTTCTATGGAAAGTCATGGAACAGATTGGTTTGCTGTAACTGAAACGCAGTGTGTCGTTATCCTAATTCTGCGTAATTGCAGGCTGTGCTCCCTCTCATTTGCCTTCATGCTCCTGCTCTTTCCCGTGTACCAGGTCCCACAGCCGGGCAGGGCAGAAGAGGCCAGTCCAGCAAACTGATTCCCCTGCACTTTTTTGGTAGGCGAGCTATGAGATCTGTTCGCCCTGCAGATCCCTGCATATGTGTTACCACAAGGCTGCCTTTGTGCTCAGGGTTGTCTTGAGAGACAGTGAGCAACTAAGATCTCTTCATATGTGTGAAACTGGGTATACATCAGGGCCATCATATATACATCAGCTTATATATACATCAGAGAAACACCCAAGTCATGTCATTTACCCGAGGAGACTCTTGCAAGAGAGGCAAACAAAGCTCTGTGAAGTCTCCTTAGCTGTTGCTGATGATTTCTGGAAGCATTTTGACTTACAATGATGTGTGGGTGTATGAAATTGTAAACATGCTTTATTTACATTCTCTATTATTATTATAGCATGACTTTTAATGACCAGCTATTCTAAGTTTGAAAATATTTAGACAGTCGAACCCACTGTTCTGTGTGTTTGTATCTTTCCATGACTCTTTCTGTAAAAATTGATGTTTCCTTATGTTGGTTTCCGCTTGAAGCTGATTAAAACTGCTTTTTCTTCCTCTCATGTTACGTGGAAAAAAAAAAATCAAAACCATTTTCTCTGAAAATGTAAATAGGACTTGCTTATAAAATTTAAGCAGCCATACCTTGGAAGTAGCCTCTGAATACCACAGCTTCCCCCAGCTTTACTTGGGTGTTTGCACCCTGTGTGCAGATCTCGCAAGCTCCAGTTCTTTCTAATGGGGGGTCTTCTGGTTTTTGCAGGGTGCCAGGGTGTGGCTGCGGGAGCAGGACCAGCTGCAGCCATGCACTGTTGGCTCATGTGCCGATGGAAATGTGCTCTTCACCTCGGATTATGGCACGGTAAGTGATGTTTGCATGAGGCCGTAGACTACGCCAAGCTGCAAGATGGACTTCTTGGTCTTGCATGACTTTCATGCAAAAAGGAGATGTATCAACTGAAATGCTGCAGTTCTGTCTGAAAATTGGCCCCCCTCTGTTACAAACCATGCCAAAGGTCTAGCAAAGGTTAAAAAGAGGCAATTGTTCCCTTTCTTCTGTTCATTTGTCTGCCCACCTCACTTTGTTTTTTCTTGTGCCATCTTTGAAGGAGTTGCATTAACGGGCTAGCAAAACCATTATATTGGCAAAATGCTCCTAGGAAGGAGGCAGCTCCACCAGCTAAGCAGCCCTTTCTGCCAGGATGTGCTTCTTGCAATCCATGCCACTGCAAGGGCCATTGTACTCACCACCGTCTGCTTCCGCAGCTTTTGCCATCGGTCCCTTTTGGGTCAGGGGCACATGGAAGTCATCCCCCCGTGTCAGTCAGCACTGTAAGAGCAGGAGCTATGGGCAGGGCAGTTCAACGAGGCAGCTGAGCTCCTCGGAGAGCACAGCTTTCTGCCAGCAATAGGGAACAAGCCTCTTTCCTGCCCTGTTTCCAGCCCTGTGCTCCTTGTGGTTCCCTGGCGTGCCTGCTGCAGTGCTCGTGGTGTAATATTGGTGGGAAGGGACCTCTGGGGATCATCCAAGTCCTCAATGAGTCAGCTCATAACCCTGGGAAAACTATTCGCTGCCTTCGCTGAGGTTCCTAGTGAGTCAAACTGGTGCCTGGGCTGGGAGGAGGATGGGGAAATGGGCAGGACTCTGCCCTCCAGCAGTGAGCAATTAGATCTGCTCAGCTGTTTCCGTGAACCATGCTCTGCAGGCAGCTTCTTTGTTACAGAAAATTGGACAGGGTTTTTTTTTTTTTTTTCAGCCTCTTACCTGGCAACCAAAGGAGGGCACAGGGGGAAAGGGGATTTAGGACTTCAGCTTGTGGAGAGTCAGTGGTAGGACTGTCATATTTTTCAGTCTTGCTTTGACAAGATTTGGCTAGATTTCAAATCATCATTCCTTTATAAAGAGCCTGATTTGTTTCTCAGAGACACAAACTCACCTAGTAGACACATAGGTTTTTCATCTGATTAGTCTCTTAAATCCTTTCTTGAGGAGTTGCCTTGTTTTGGGAATGCTGAATAGTCACTAACTCGTTTTAAGAGATCACAGAGGCATTTGTCACGGGTAATGCAGCAGCCTCGGAGAGTGAACAAATGGCGAGTACTTCTGTGACTCTCCCAGACTTGCTCCTGTCTCTTCTGATATGCTGCCGTGGCCTTGGAAAATCCTCCAAACCCACCTGGCACCTCTGAAACGACACCAGAAATCCCACCACAGAGCCAGTTGAGTGGGTGCACCCACGGCCAGCTTGTGTCCGTGCTAGAAAACGTGCACAAGGTAATGCTGGGTGGAGTCAGAGGTCTAAAAGGGCTGGATTTGGGTTTTTTCCTCCATGAAAGAAGAAACCACTAGGCTGAAGGAGTATGTGCTTTATGGCTTATGCAGAAAAAGCGCATGGTGATCATTCAAGGGCTCTCTGTATCCAGTGCCATCCACAATACTATGTGCTTCCCTCGCCTGCCACCTTCATTGCTTGATAACTGCAGGAGGGACTGGCTGTCTTATGCTGGGTGAAAAATCAGGTGAAAACATCTTCATTTTACTTTGGGCTGGATGGTTCAGTTGATTCTTCTGATACAAGGATCCCTAAATCTAGTATCCTCATGTTTTCTGTGGCCCAGCATCCCTGCCGCTCTTGCAGCTCTGGGGTAAGAAGTCCAGTCTTGTGCTTCAGGGCTTTTGCCATTTGTTTTCACTTCCTTAAAAACACCTCAAGCAACAAATCCATCAGAAATGTGACTTCCTGGGAGGAAAGGAGGAGCCGACACTTAGGAAACAAAAGTTGGGCAGAACAGAGCTGGCAGATCTTTAAGGAAGTGGTCCACAGAGCGCAGGAGCTATCGATCCCTAGGTGTAAGAAATCAAGCAAAGAAGGGAAGAGACCAGCGTGGTTGAGACAGGAGATGCTGGTCAAGCTAAGGAGGAAGAGGGAACTGCACAGGCAGTGGAAGCAGGGACAGGCATCCTGGGAAGAGTATAGGGAAGTGGTCCGGTTGTGTAGGAATGGGGTCAGGGAGGAGAGGTAGTGGAGGCCCCATCCCTGGAAACATTCAAGGCCAGGTTGGATGGGGCTCTGAGCAACCTGATCTAGTTGGCGGTGTCCCTGCTGACTGCAGGGGGGTTGGACTCGATGACCTCTAGTGGTCCCCTCCAACCCAAAACATTCTATGATTCTATGATTCTATGATTCCTGGGAGGAAAGGAGGAGCCGACACTTAGGAAACACAAGTTGGAAACCACGGTCCAGACAGACCAGCCAAATGCTCTGTGGGTAAACGTAACTTAGATGCTGAGCGAGAGCTTTGCTCCCTTGTTCAGGGTTGCACTAATGGATGGATTTGAGGTTGAGGAGGAATCATTTCTCCCCTGCTCAGTCTGGCTTGGTTGGCAATCCTCATCTTGGCTTGCCTGCCAGACAGGTTTTGCTTTATTCCTGACCATTGCATGGGCTTGGAGAGAGTCCTGCTCATTTTGTTCTGACCGTGGGCTAAATCTGAGACAGTCAGTTAATCGCTGGGGAGAAAGTAGTAATCGCTGGCTGTGTTGTGGGGTACCTGTGTGGTATTTGGTGGCTTGTTTGTAGTTAGACTGAAAGCTGATGGGTTTTCTTCCTAAATAATAAAGATCTGCTTATTAATGCCTGTAACTTTCTGTATAAGTATTAACTTGTTGGAAAAGAGATATTCCAGAGGCAGCTCTGCTGAGAGATCAGCTTGTCTGTGTTCTCACTTGCTTCAGGCAAAATCAGCCATTGTATGCAGCTCAGTAGTGCTAGCTGCTGAAGCCAGCCTGGCTCACCTTACCTGGAGCGGGATGGTGGGGAGGATGTTGCTCCAAACTGCTCTCCTGGCAGATTGCTGGAGGGACCCAGAAGTGAGCGGTGGGGTAACAAGAGCCTCTTTACTGGGGTGGCTGGGGGTGGGAAGGTGCCTGGTGGTCCTGGATCAGTGCAGCACCTTGTGAGCTCTAAGGGTGGAGGGTCATCACGTCTGGGTCACGTTTGTATCTCAAACCTCAGAGCTCCTCAGGGAAAGGCCCTTTGACACAATCTTGGGAATAAAAAAACCCCACCACGTGTCTCTCTCCAGGACCCTGGATGGTCCCTGCAGCCTGATGGTGATACAGAGACTAGAAATTTGTGTCTACCCTGGGGGGCAGAGGACAGATTAGAAGCCAACTCTCTTCCAGTGCCAGGGAAGGCCTGAAACCTCTCCCTCATGCTATAGGTGCCTTCCAGGGGCACGGAGACCTCCCCTCCCAAATCTCAGTGGGGCTGGAGGCCCCAGCCTCTGCCTGAGGAAGGGTGAGCTGCTCAGAGTGCAGTGATGGGCAAGGGTGTTCCGTGAACCTCCCCAGCCTCAGGGACAAATAGGTGACATCTTGGCCTCGGCTAGGGTGTCAGTGCAGCATCAGTCCGCCCCTCCAGGGAGTACGTTTCACCTACATGGTGTTACTGTCCAGAGGGTACCAGGTCCAGTGCCCCTCTCATCCACCTCTGCTGCAGTCCTGTCAGAGCACCTGTTTAACTCTGGACCCGATTTTTTGGTTTTTTAGGGAGGGGTGACCGAAAAACCCCAATCAGGAGGCTCAAGACAGGTTTAACAAGATCTAGTCCCTGCTAAATCATTTACTCTTGTATTTAGGCCTGCTGTTGCTCATCAGGGTTCCATTTTCTCCCTTGTTGTCTACAAGAGCAAGTAAAGAAGCTGACACATCACAATTATTTTTCATGCACGGCAGCCTCTTGGCACAGGTGCTGCCAACCGCCTGGTATCTTTTGGGACACTTGTCCACTCAGCTTTTTCCCTAGGCATTTTCTTGATGTTTTCTCTTTTGGCCCAAGTGGCCACAAGTGCTGACAATGCAGTGGTAAATGAGTAAGTGCCAGGCAGATGTAAGGAAAGCTCACGTCATACCATTTTGGACTTGTCCCCTTCCAAAATTTGCCCAAGTAAGTAAAGAGAGGGAGGGTGGTTTGCTGCCTCATGGTTTGAAAGTGGCTCTGTGAGAGAGTCCAGTTCATGTTGTGCATTTGCAGCTTGTACTCCCCCCTGAATTTAATCGTCCCAGCCTCCCTTCCTGCTCCCTCACTTCTCTTCTGGAAGTGCCTGAGGCCTCTGCTCTGAAGAGAAAAAAAAAATATTATGTGGGGTTTTTTTGGGCCATGCTTGCAGAGTGGGGGTCCTGCTGCTGGCAGAGTTGTACCTCTCTGATACCCAGCTGCAGAAGTGGTGCAGAGAAGTCCAGGGAGGCCTGGGGAGAGGCTGTGTGCTGGAGTGGACTGTTCATGAATATGAACTATGTATTTTTGGGAGCCCCTTGGCTGGTGAGAAAATCGGGCTGTGGGGCAGACTCCCAGTGGAAGAGGCCAAGCCCTTGTCACATTAGGTGTGACTGGGCAGACCTGGGGCAATCATCAGGGGAAATGAGTCTGCTCCTCATCCCCAGCTCCTTCTGGGAACAGAGCCGTTGCTTCGATTCTGCTCACTTTTGCAGGCATTGCGGGGGTCTTGTAAAGGGACCCTTCCCCATTCGGGTGAGGGTGCGGGCTCAGGGCTGAGAAGGGGTTCTCGCTGGGCTCCTGCAGCACACTGCGACATTGAGTGCCCAGCAAGGGACCAGCAAGGGTGGCTCACGGCGGGGGCAGGGGGTCCTCATTCTGTCTGCAGCTCGCGGCTGCGTGGCTGGGCTTTCCCCGGCACCCCGAGGGCTCTGGGGAAAGCAGGCAGGAGGAAAAGGAATGCAAATGAAGTACAGACCAGAGCCCCAGAAAGGAAGGAAAACCCCAAGTTTCTGTGGAAGGGTTACTGCGGGCCAGTTTGCTTCTCCAGGCTGCCTTGTATGAAGTCTCCCATCTGTCTGTCTTGGGTCTTACCATCTAGCACAGCTTGGGATGCTGGGTGGGAGATGGTGCATGGTTGAATCCAAGAGTGGGAAGCAACTGAAATAACTTTTGTGAAATGCCAGCATCGTGCTTGAGGAGGAGGAAAGGAGGGCTGGGATGTGGCTATGGTGGAGGGGAACAGTCACATAATCTTGGCTGTGTTGAAAGGGGGTGAAGAAGGTGACCCAGGAGCTGAAGTGTGGGTTATTGAGGAGGAGGAAGCTCTAGCAGGAAGAAGGATGCAGCAACTGAGGCAAGAAGAGTGCAGCTGCATAGAGGGAGAAGTGGTCGCTTCCTGGAGCAGGGATGGAAGTCAATAGCTGTCACTGTACAAACGCTTTGAAAGCTGCAGGCACACCAGGTGTCACCGCTTTGGCTTCTCATCTGCTTTTCTTTCCTTTGCTCTTGACATGACAACCTCTCCCAGACACGCTCTGGGTGCTCCTATGGAGGGTGCAGGGCCAAACCTGGAATATGAATAAGCTTTGCCTTGACCTCCCCACAGTCAGAGATACGATCCCACCCATGTTTTTGTGAAAGACTGTTCCCGGTTTCTTGGGGGCAGCTGCCACTGTTATTCACAGTCATGAGCGCAGTGTGTAATACCTGTCTGGCCTGGTGTACCTGGAGGCTGTGCCCTGCTCCTGATAAGGGCACTTCATCAACGATCACGTAACCTTGCATTGATCCGTCCCTATCAGTAGTGAAGGTGAGAGAGTGACTCTGTAGCAAAGAAAGGGAGTGTGCTCTATGGTTTCTGGCCAGATTGCTCAAATAGGTAGGAAAAGGAACTGAGGAATGACTATAAAAATAGGGAGCAGATCTGTGCCTTACTAATTTTCTTTTCAAGTGCTGAAGTATAAAGCTGTGGAAAAGGACATGTTTCTGGTAGGAAATCAGACTGTGTGTCTAGGTGTCATGGGCTTATTTCTGCTTTTCCCCATTTTTCTAGGTATTCCAGTACCCCAAGGCCTCCCTTTCCAGAGAAAAAGTCTTGCCAATGCACCAGACCAGCGTTGATGGGGTAGAAGACATGTCCACGCTGGGAGATCTGCATGAAGCAGCCATCCTGCTTAACCTGCACCAGCGCTACCAACAGGGTAACATCTATGTAAGTGCTCAAGCTCGGACACATCCCTTCTGGCTACCAATTTTTGTTTAGCTTCAGGCCTGCCACTTTGCATGTGAAATACTGATTTTTAGCATTGTTTCATGTGGATAAAAAAGGGAGTTTTTTTTCTGCCTTGACTGCTCCATCAGCCCTGTGAGATCCTACCCCTACCAGAGGGGCTTCTTTGCATCTGCAGAAGAAGTTCCAAAACATGAACATTCACCTCTAGGCTTTAGAATCATAGAATTGTTTAGGTTGGAAAAGACCTTTAAGATCATCAAGTCCAACTGTTAACCTAACACTGCCATTCCACCACTAAACCATGTCCCTAAGCACCTCATCTACCCATCTCTTAAATACCTCCAGGGATGGGGACTTGACCGCTTCCCTGGGCAGCCCGTTCCAATGCTTAACAACCCTTTTGATGAAAAAAATTTTTCCTAATATCCAACCTAAACCTGCTCTGGCACAACTTGAGGCCATTTCCCCTCATCCTATTGCCCATTACCTGGGAGAAGAGACCAACCCCCACCTTGCTGCAACCTCCTTTCAGGTAGCTGTAGAGCGCAATAAGGTCTCCTCTCAGCCTCCTGTTCTCCAGGCTAATTGTGCAGCTCTGTATCCTCCATGACCATCTGTGTTTTACAAGCTAGTGTTCATGTTCCCCAGATTCCCCATTTTTACTGTTCAGAGGTTTACATGGCCAAGCAGACTGGAAAGTGCAGTGTACACAGGCGGTTGTTGGTTATCCCTCCTGAACCAGATAAAGCTACTGCTCGACAAAACTAGGAAGGCAAACCTGTTGCCTAATTCTTCTGCTTTTATGTGCAGTTGTGCCTTTTTTGAGTTGCTCTGCTCTCCTTGCACAGATGAATACTCAAAGCGTCTCCTGATTTCCCTCTCGGGCCCTTGGGAAAGAGGCAAGCCCCAGGAAAGGGACCTGTGAGGAAAAGCACGCCCAGGACAAGGCACCCCTGGCGTGCTGGGATGGCAGCATGCTCTGCTGAGACTTGGAGAGGACTAGGAGGATATATTACAAAGGCTGCTTTGCCTCGCTTTACTCTTACTTTGCTTGTCCATGCTATGTGCACCCAGAGTTTTTCAGATTATGACAGGAAAAATGTAAAACTCTGTGTTGCATGGCAACCATTACCAAGGCAACCAAACCATATGCACCTGTATTCCAGGAAATTATCAATAAAGTGACCCCGTTTCTGAGCCATCTCCTGCTCCGGGATGCAGAGGAGGCTGCAAATTGTCTTTTTTTCTGTTGCTGTAGACCCCCTTGCCTGTTGTCAGTCAGCATAGCCCTGTGGCAGTACCCACGTGCACACGCTCTTTTGATGGCCCTTGTCCTTGCTGCTCTTCCTGACCTGTGTTTGGTGCGTGCTATGTGTTTGTGCAGCTCTTTGCCCTTTTGAGTATATTCCTTTTCCTCACGTTTTGAGATGTGAGGCAGGTTTCTCTCCTTTTTTCAGTCTGTGTCTTGCACCAGAAATGCCACACCACCAGCACCGTGACAGTGTCACAGCAGCTGTATCTCCGTAAGCCTTTCCTCTAGCCCTGACATGTCATTCCTTCTCCTCTTCAGCATTAGTTCTGTGGCTTCTCCATCCGTGTGTAAAGGTGGTAAAAGTTTAAATATGATGTCATTTTTTGCCTGTGGATAGTGCATTAATGTCAGCTGTGCACCTCAGATCTGAGTTTTTGGGAGATACATGAAGGGGCCTGACTTCTGTAATATGCTGAGCACTGGGAAGAAACCCCTGGTGAAGGATTGTAAGCCCCCTCTTGAGTGGGAATCTGGGTATATGTTTGCGCAGTGTCTGACCTGGAGGGCACCAAACCAGACAAGTGCTATTTTGCATTACTGCAGTGCAGACATTAATATTGCAGTTAGCTTATCACTAACTACTAGTTTTTGCCATAGCCCTGCCGTATATGGTTTTCAGTTAAGCAGAAATTGAGAATGTCAGCTGTAGTGCCACCTAATGACTTGCAGTGTTCTGTGAACACCATGAATGCTACAGTGGTTGAGTTCATTTAATATCGTTCTTCATGGTCTCCACAGCTAGAGCATAGTAGGCTAAGGTTGCAGATGAAGCTGTACTGAGAGGAGTTATGCCTATCAGTCAGGGCCAAAAATATTTGGAAGGAAATAGGAGAGATCAGAAACAGGGGAGAAATACCATCATTTTCTGGAAAACAAATGCACCTGAAGGAATGGGTAACCTGGTATACTGGTAACTAGTATTACAAATAATGAAAAAAAAAAAAATAGAGGGGATGGAAAACTGAGAATATGAAGTGGACAACTGCTGTGAAAAAGGGCAGCGCAGTTCTGAGTTGTATGCCTAGAGGCATCCTACCATGAGCACCTAAGGGGGATCCTTTCTCGTCAGGGAGCGTAGGTGGCAGTACTGGTCTGGTACCCATAATTAATGTGCTACAGGAATACCGACAGTCTCCACAGTATCTCTTGTTTTTCAAAGAAATACTATTCAAGCTCTACCAAACTGTTTAAGGAAATTGTGTGAGCACAGCGACAGCTTGCAGCATTGAAGAATGCATCTTCCCCCTTCACTCCTGCAATTCCTGTATCCCTTAATAAAAGTAGACCCAACATAATGTGAGTGATGTATATAATGAGGCAGGGGCTGTACTGCCATGCTTTGTGCTGTCCCTAGCTCTGCCATGCCTAACCACCCAAGCAGGATCTATTTTCTTGAGGAGATGTGCCACTTGTGGCTTGTCCTGCCCTACACAGTTCTCTGGGGACGATCACTATTTGCTAGTAAGAGTGGCTGGTATGTACATGGTTGCACAAATGCTGCTTCTATTAAAAATCATGGATAGAAATAGTCTATAAGGGACTGCAGGTGATGAAGAGACTGCAACTGGGAGATGGGAAAGCTTCCTAGAAACACCTTTGAAAGAGATGGCTGTACTGGAAGAAGTTCTGGAAAGGCCTAGAGTGAAACTAGAGTGGGAAATGCAAAATGAAACATCTGAGAGGAAAAAATGCTGTTAAGGTCTAGGAGAAGTGTTGGGATGGACATCTGTTTTGCAGTCCCTGGAAAGTGTCTGTTGCTCAACTGGTTGTACAGTGCTTTTTCACGATCCATGTTTTCTCTCTCAGTCCTTTCCCATTTCCTCCCACCTGTCTTGCCAAAGATCATCCGCTTGCTTATTGCTTTCATCACTGATGAATTGTATTTCTGCCCACAAAGGTCTATGTCAGAGGGTCGTCAGGGCTGGTTCCATGCTAGCCTGTTCATACCAATAAAGCAATTAGGCCTAGGTGATGGGTTTTTTCCCCCTGATGATCTGTGACTGCTGCTTTAATAAATGAGTCTTAGATATTTTGGTGACTAGACCATCTTAGTCTGGCTTCTGGCTTCAGAGCTTGGCATTGCAGTATGGCTCCAGATTTCATTTGGCAGGGAGAAAGCACATGTCTTACTTGTCACCAAGTGTTTCGTTTACAGCTTCTCCAAATCCTTGTATATGTATGTGGTGACTCGTAGTTCATGGTTTGGAAATAATACTAGATGTTCTCCCTGGCCACAAAGCTTGGCAGCAACTGCAGCAACCTAAGTGTTTCCTCTATCACCCCTGCTGAGAATGGGTATTCCTGGAGCAGAGCAGCCCAAGATGTCCCTGTGAAGGAGGCCACTGCACCAGCAGCAGGATTTAAGCTGGATGTTGACCGTGTTACAAAGCCATTGTTAGGGGAGAGGTGGCACCATTGCTCTGAACTGCAGCTCTGAGAATAACTGGATTTGAGATGGTTGGCTGAACCGAAAAAGTCATGCCCCAAAAACCAAAATGCGTTTCCTTCTGACTTCACAAAAGAATATGTTTGAAATTCAGTATTAGGCTTTGGATATTTTATTTTAAACCTGACTAACTCTTTTCTTGAACTGTGAGATTTTTGAAATAAATATTTCAAAATAAAATATATAGAAATTGTAGAAATGTTTTGACTTGAAATCCTGAGCTTCCTCTTCAGCTGTCAGTTTTGATTTGGCTTACCAAGTGACTTAAGCTGCTCCAAACAGAATTTTTCGGCAGAAGAAAAAGATACGCTTTAGTGGCTCTTTGCACACGTGTGTCTGTGTCTGTGTGTCTGTGTCCCACCTCTTTGTTCAGGAGGTGCTTGAACCCTGCCAAGCCCCTTCCACTTAAGGCTGTGGATAGGGGCATTGAAGGTATCTCCTGACACTCCTTCAGTCCTGGCTCTGCTTTTCAGCTTCATGCACAGTGCAAGGTAGCTGGGTATGAAGATGGCTTCATGTTTTTAAATTATGTAAGCTTAATTTAGCGGACAACAGACTAAGAACACTTTATTGTAAAGCAGCGAAATTCAAACTAGCCCATCCATACCCAGTCATGCAGCCCCTGCCTTGGGGTTTGACATTCTTTGCTAAACTGGGGAGCTCTCTGCTGAAACCCAACTTCCTTATTTAGGCTTTCTCCCTTCGCCATGAGTTATTTCAGGGTCTGGGTTTGTCGTGATTTTTTTTTTTCCAGGAATTTTATTTCCTTGCTGTGTGTTTTGTTTTTTTTTTTCTCCCCCTAGACAAACATTGGTTCCATCTTGGCATCAGTAAATCCCTACAAACCCATCCCTGGTCTGTACAGTGTGGATGCCATAGACCTGTACAGACAGCACCGCCTGGGTGAGCTGCCTCCCCATATCTTCGCCACCGCTAACGAGTGCTACTGCTGCTTGTGGAAGCGTCATGACAGCCAGTGTGTTCTGATAAGGTTAGAAATGGGAGAAGCGGCTACTCCCTGACTGCATTGCATGCCTTGCTCCTGCTGCTCCGTTTGCAATGACATCTGCCTAAATATCCACACCATCCCACCCTTTGCCTGGCCCCTGCTTGCCACAGTGGAGATGCTACGTGTTTATTCCTGGAGGTCACTTCTCTGCCGTGGGTGGGATGGTCATTAGCTTGGTCTGTCCTGGATTTGTGAATGGAACGTGTATCTTTTCTTTAACAGCGGAGAAAGTGGAGCTGGAAAGACTGAGAGCACCAAGTTGCTGCTGAAATTTCTGTCGTCTATGAGCCAGACTTCCCTTGGGGCCCCTGCGTCAGAGAAGAGCACTCGTGTGGAAGAAGCCATCCTGGAAAGCAGGTATGGTCACCCATACAGGTGCCATGTGCCCTGTTGTTCTGGGGCAGCCTGCCTTTGGCGGGGGCACTGCCGTCTGCACAGTGCCTGTGTTTGGGCCGCTTGAGCCAGGCTGCGGATGGAGCCGAACCTGGGCAGTGAGGCTCATGCAGCTGAGCGGTGTCTCGTCAGGGAAGCGCGGCGGTTGCAGTCTCACTGGGACGCCTCCATGCTGGCTGCTCTCCCAGCTGCTTGTGGATTAACCTGGCTTCTTTCCAGTAGCAGCGCAGGGGTTGTGTGGCAGCCATGGAGTTAATGCCCTAGTCGAGGATGGAATGTCTCCTTCCTTCAGTAACTCATCCTCCGTGCCCGCCCAGCTGCACCCTTGAGGTCACCCACACACCACTGCGCTGTCCCTCTTTCCAGCACTCGCGCCCACGTCTCCATGGCAGTGGCTGGAGGGGATGGGGTCCCCTCCCTCCCTGCTGCAGGGATGGCTGTCCCAGGCCATCCCCGTCTCCCACGGCTCTCAGTGTGGGTGAATCTCCATCACACTCTGACTCCGGGTCTCCCCCTTTAGCCCCTGCTCTCCCCTGGCCTCCGTTTGTTTCGGGCTGCCACCATGTCTTGCCCCCAGAGGTCCTGTGGGCTGCCTTGCAGCTCCCTTGCTGTCTGGGCAGGTGGTTTTAAGGAGAAACGTCCAAGGGGCACGAGCGAGGAGGTTTCCCTGGGGGCTGCAGCAGGGCCTGTGGGAACCGGTCTCGGCTGGAGCTGGCACCGGGGAATAACCGCCCTGGCACCGGGGAATAACCACCACCCATCAAAACCTTGCAAAGGTGTCAAGTGGGCAGGGAAGTGCATGGTGCCCAAGTCAAACGTGTTTGGGAAGGAAACCGGCAGCCATGAGGGGATAGAGACGTGCTCTGTGGGGGATCCTTCATGCCAAAGAAGGTGCTGGCACCCCTGAGGGACTGTGACCATGCCAAGGGCAGGAAAGCCCCAAGCTCCATGGCCCACCCCAGGACTATGGCGCACGGGTGACCCACACTGGAACAGGGACACCAAAGAAAAAAAGTGTCAAGAAAACTTGAAGAAGCAAAGTGCAGCTGAGGAAGAACCTGTAAGAGGCAAAGAGCAGCAGAGAAAGTGAGGAAGCAAAGAGCGACAGAAAGAAGCGGTTGTGTGTGGGCCCCAGCCTCCTGCGCCGCTTGCTGCCTTGCGGGGGGGGGGGGGGGGGGGGGGGGGGGGCGGGGGAGGGGCTGGTTTTAACCTGAGGTAAAAAATGGAAGCTGAGGCTAAGAAAGGGGAGCGATAGGTGTTGGACATCAGGTAAAGCCTTGGAAAGAGGGAGGAAAGATGTTTACTTAGGTGTCTGTTTTTTTAACACCTGAATCCATGATCAGAAGTTTCCCCTAATTAGCAATAAATTAAATTAAACACCAGTTTCCCAATGCAAGACTGCCTGGAGGACCTTGCTGGGGGTCTTGCAGTTCAGTACTGTCAAGGGCGAGGCTGCAGGTTGGTCCCAGTTTGAGCCTGTGATAGTTGCAGAAGCCTCCAGAGGAGTAAATCAGATGTCTGCAATAGGATCTAGTTGTGTATTATGCTGGAATCCTTTGAACCATCTGTGTAAAAGTGACTCTCATGCAAGCGGCACACTTTGGGGCCCAGGGAGTAGGGAGAAGGAATGTTTCCTGGAAGACTGTGATGCAAAAAAGTTACTAGTAACTGTGGTGGAAATAGCGAAAGCAGACATGCAGTGCTAACGTGGCAGCTGCAAGAGTGTTGCAGTTTTTAGGATCCTTATAAGCAGCGCAGCACTGAGCAGAGTGGTTGCTGCCTTTGGACCCCGTGCTCGAGAGGCTGTTGTTGGATGATTTATCCTTTGCAGGTGTGCAGATTTTACCACGGACATTGGCAAATTGGAAAAAGGTCTTAAGTGCAATACAGTCATGACTCAAGATCTGCAAAATCCACTTTAAGGCGAGCGGCTTAGAAGGCTGAAGCCCGCTTAGTGCTTAAGTGGTAACTTGACTGTGATCCAAAAAGCTTTCGATGGTAGGTAGGTGATTCCTGAGTCTGCAAGATCCCACAGCTGTGAGGTGGAGTAAGAGCTCATCGCTCGTTTTGCGTACATCTCCAGTGCTATGTGAGCTGTTGCGATGCGAGTGCAAAAGAATTTGATTTGTCACCTTTTTCCTCAAGAAGAGGAGCTGAAGACCTGGCCCAGACCCAGAAGCTGCTGCCGCTCCTAATGAGTCTACCTCATATGTTTGCAGTTCCTCTTCACTTGCTCTGCCAGTGGCCCTCCTTAGGCTAGCTTATGGCAGATTTTCATCCTTGCACCCCGGCACATACCCAGGAACAATGCTGGATTCTTTCTCCATTTCAGACAGCGTTATAAACAAAGTGTTACGTCAGCTTTTTATCATTTGCTTGTGTGTTGTAACATTCGTGCTTGTTGTGCGTCTCAGAAGTCAGGCTCTGAAAACTGCCTTGGCACTGTTGATTTGGTTGGTTTTCCTTCTTGAAAATATCCATCAGTCCATTAAAAATCCTGCTAGCTTTCCTCTCAGCTTTTTTTCTTGCTTGCTTCGCTCTGAAGCTCCCTTCTCCACGTTGGGTGACACTGCTTACAGCATAGCCACCTCTCTTGTTACTCAGCCCTCCAATCTTCAAATCTGCTTTTTTGTCTTCAGCTATGTGTCTGAATCCTGGAGCTGCAATATTTCTAAAATCCAGGCTTCACTTTCTGCTGCCCTGCTGAAACTGGTTCCCATTGTTTCGAGTCCTGCAACGCACCCTGCCCGCATCCAGCCACGCAGCTGGCATCGCCTTCCCGACGCGCTGCTCCGCCTCGTGCAGTTCACTGCCGCATCGAATGCCATGTTGCGACGTGCCGGCTGGCATGGGCAGTTCGCTTGGCCCGGGCACCCTCCCTCATTCCTGGCTGTATTGGCTCACCCACCCCTCTGCCCGGCAGCTGCCGCCAGCCTCGGACACCCACGTGCCTATTTCCTCCCCCATCCCTGAAAGACTTCTGCGCTCCTGTGCGTGAGCCCATTGCCAAACTGAACTATAAAGCTACTTCCTTGTGCTTTGCTTATCTAATTTAACATGATTTAGAGCCGTAAAGATTGGCTGCCTGGTGACTGCACTCTCACTGCAGCTGCAGCTGCGGTGGTCGTAGAACATAACCCTGTCCTCCCTTTTTCTGGTTGTCCCTGTTAACTTTTGTTGATTCATGGCGTTGGTGTGCTCCGAGGGATACTCCTGTGCAATGTCCCTATTTACACACTTGTTTCAGAGGCGTGGGTCTTGGAGTTCAAATTCCCCAGGGCAAGGAACTTCCCTCCTGATCTGTGCACACAGATTTCTGTGACTGGGTTTTCTGTGGTTGTAATGTGTTATAACAGAGCAATTTCATTTCTATGCTTTTGTATGCTTAAAGTGATATTTTCAAGAGATAAATTAGGAAAATACTGCCTGAAGTTTCCTGAACGCTGTTGACCTTTTCCTACAACCACAGCTCTCACTTAGCGAACACTTGCAAGGCCTGAAGCTCTCAGCAAACTCCAGCGGCATCTGCAGCTGTGATTATTTGCCATGTTATAGTTATTAACTTTTGAATAATCCTGTATCTGCCCCTGTCTGAAGTGGAAGTGCACAGTAGATTAATGGAGATGTTTAAAAAGCAAGTATTTCTGAGGGTAATAACCGCAATAATTTTTGTTAAAAGCTATGTGTGTGTTTTAGAATTAAACATGATTGCTACAGGCTGTTCTTGTAGCATTTCCATGACTCCTTGCTTTTCAGGCCTTCACATTATTTTTGAATTGGCTAAATTGCAAAAATGAATATTTTAATCCTGGATTCAGCGTGTCAGTTTGAATGGTTTAGGCTTTTTCCTTGTACTGTTCTGTGGAGCAAGAACTAATCTGTGTTTTAACTCACTGCTTTCCATGTTGTGTGAACCTCCTGAGGACAGGAAGGTGACCAGGTGTGCTGGTTTGGGCTAGGATAGAGTTAATTTTCTTCATAGTAGCTTGTATGGGGCTGTGTTTTGGATTCGCTGAAAACAGCGTTGATAACACAGGGATGTTTTAGTTACTGCTGAGCAGTGCTTGTGCAGAGTCAAAGTCTTTTCTGCCTCTCGCCCCACCCCACCAGCAAGCAGGCTGGGGGTGCCCAAGAAGCTGGGAGGGGACACAGCTGGGACAGTTGACCCCAAGTGCCCAAGAGGATATTCCATACCATACGACGTCATGCTCAGCATATGAAGCTGGGGGAAGAAGAAGGAAGGGGGGGATGTTTGGAGCGATGGTGTTTGTCTTCCCAAGTCACTGCTATGCATGACGGAGCCCTGCTTTCCTGGAGGTGGCTGAGCACCTGCCTGCCCATGGGAAGCAGTGAATTAATTCCTTGCTTTGCTTGGCTTGCGTGCACGGCTTTTGCTTTCCCTGTTAAACTGTCTTTATCTCAACCCACGAGTTTTCTCACTTTTACTCTTCTGATTCTCTCCCCCATCCCACTGGGGGGAGCGAGCAAGCGGCTGTGTGGGGCTTTGTTGCTGGCTGGGGTTAAACCACGACACCAGGAGACAAAATTCTTCATCACCCAACTGAAGTTTGGTGATTCTTTTTTTTTTTTTTTTTTTTTTTTTCTCCTTTTTTTTTGCAACTTTTTTTTCCTGAAGTGGATGATGTGGCTCTCTTAGAATGAGGTTTTCAAATCTGTAACGTGTCTATATTCCCTCTGCCTGGAAACCATGTGGCTTGTATCAACCTAAGCAAGGTTTAAGTAACAAGGGTTTGCGTGTTCCCATATCAAATTTCAGTACCAAACAAATCAGTTTAGTACTATGTTTGTCTGTTAGTTTGAAAATGTTTACCTGTAATTTTAAGAGGTGGCTTATCCAGCCTTCTCTTTCAAAGGTAGAAACAGAAACAAAGCAGCATGTGGTTTAAAGCTACAGAGAGTTTGCCCTATACGGCTGATGCAGCTGAAAATCTGGATAAAAATACAAACCTGTTTCAAGGGATGCTGCTGGGTTAAGCACACAACCTGGCTGGGTCTTGCCACCTTTCGTTTCATGAAGCCACGTTGGGGGGAATGCCTTCAACAGCATGAACACCAGCTGCCCATATTGATTGGGGACTGATTTAATTAACTCCAATCCCAAAGGTTTAAAATTTATCTAGCCTTGTGTTAAATTGCTCTTGCCATCCTTCCTTGCCCTTGAGTTCTTCCTGCTTGTCCAGTCTGGTGCTGTAACAAATTAATCTCACGTGGCAGTGCACGCTGTGCAAATGGCAAAAGGCTGGGCACGTGTTTTAATGGTATCTCATCACCAATCATATCTTCATTGCCTTGTTTCTGCAGCCCCATTCTGGAGGCCTTTGGAAATGCCAAGACAGTTTATAACAACAACTCCAGCCGCTTTGGCAAGTTCATCCAGCTGCACTTCTCTCAACATGGACACATCCAGGGAGGCCGAGTAACTGATTGTATCCTTTGCTTCAGTGGACCAGAAATGGATGGAGCGAGCTCGGATGGATGGGTCAGGAAATCTCTCATCACAGTTTCTCAAAGCCAGTTTATAACTGTGGGCAAGTTTGCAACTTAAAGAGGGAAGAAGTGGGTTTTTTGTGGCTCTGCAGCACCTAACTTTGGAAACCTTTTGTCTAGGTACTACATTAGCTAGGGACATAGTTTGACTTTTCACTTTGGCAATCACAACACTTAATAGTTAAATCCCTAGAATTTGCTGCCGAGGAAGATCCTTCATGCTGATTGTATCCTGTTTTTCCCAGAAGATTGTTCCCTTATGTTAGTTCTGCCAATGAATTAATGATTTAGAAAAGTGAGACCAAGCTAAGAATCAATATATTCTGCACAATATTTGGATGCAGAGAACAGGAATCCATAAAGATCATTGAGTCCAAATCTCTGCTCCCTGCAGGACTACCTAAAACTAAATCATATGACTAAGAGCATCATCCAGATGCTTCTCGAACTCTGAGAGGCTTGGTTCTGTGACCACTTCCCTGGGGAGCCTGTTCCAGTGACAACAAGGTCAGGGAAGACCAGATATAGTCGAATTATATTGTGCTATGACCGCTTTCTTCCCTGTATGCCCATGTACCCCTCTCCCAAAGGCTTTGACATACCTTTTGTCTTCATGAGGCAGCTAAAGCTGCCCTGCATACATTTGTTGATGTTCAAAGCTGCTGATGACTGCAAACCACACCAATTTCCACTGGAGTAGCAGCCAGACAAATTTACTACTGTTGTAAATAAGGGGCTTGGATTGTTTAGTCTCTGCTCTTTGTGCTGTTGGTGGATTAAAGATAGTGGTCTCTTGCAGAAGCAATGAGAACTGATGCAAGACTTGCCGCATGCCATACAGACTTTCAGATTAGAGTGGCCTCTCAAATCTTTCTAGGTGTCCCTAATGTGGCTCATCCTTTGTTAGGTTACTTTACCATTGTGCGGGTCCTATGGTCGTATCTGACCCTGTCCTTTTAAATATCTCTTTGGCCCATAATACCTCCTTGGACAAGTAGAGAGGAGGATGCGAGATGATGTTCGGGACCACTCTTTGACCACTTTCCAAAGCAACAGTTATTTCATGTTTTGTTGCTTGTTACAGGGTTCACCCCAATATCTCTAGAAGATTCTTTGCCAGTCATCAGATCTGTGTATATGTCATTTGAGTGTTTTCTCCTTAACATGCTCTTCAGATTTACTGGAAAAGGTAGGTATCGCCTCTACTGACTGCTGGGTGAGCCCTGTCCTCAGTGTATGGTGGGGCAAGTGCCAGTTCTCCTACTGGATGAAGCTGCCTCCATCATAGCATGTAGATATTAGCTCTTTAGGTGTTACTACTGCAACTGTCCCAGCTCAGGAAGAGGATGGTAGAAGAACAATATTTGGTTTGTATCTATCAGAGCCTGTTCTCCTGTCTTTGATAAATGCTGTGCATTACAGAGAGACTCCAAGAAAAAACTGTTTATCAAGGGGAAAGGGAGAGGGAACAAGTACCTGGAAACTCAGATCCACAGAGAGGAATGTGGGGGTACAACTCCAAATGCAGGCACCTCTGCTCTGATGTAGTTTACTTTGCATTCAGGAACTCATGGAGGAGCAGGGACAGAACTGACAAGGTTCGGTTTGTCCGTGTGTGCACCCTCTAAGTGAGTTCAGAGAAGTCTGTACGTGCTCAGTTGCACAGCCACACATGACAAGATCTTGATGTAGAGCTTAGACAACACCATCACTAAACTGGAAGAAGCCCTTCCTGTGAATTGGCCCTGGAGGTTTACCTGTATCCTGGTTTTCTCTTTGTCTTTGCAATCAAAAGTGTGATCTCTTTCTACTGGTTACTCCTGTATTCTTTGTTCCAGAACAGAGTGGTACACCAGAACCCTGGAGAGAGGAATTACCACATCTTTTATGCTCTGCTAGCTGGTGTGAGCGGGGAGCAGAAAGGTAATTTTGTTTTCTGGGATATGGCTCTGTCCTCTTTCCAGTCCAGTATGTGATGCAGGTGTAAGTCAACTAGAGCATGGATATTTCAGGTACTTGATATATAACTTTTTCTTGAAGGCCATATGGTGATTTCATGGGAAACAGAAAGGGGAGTTAAGAGAAAGAGGCTGAGGATGACAGAAATGCTATATGAGAAAAGACGCTTCAGGCACTCTGAGCTGGAAGGAAAAGTCTGTGCAAAGTGAAGAGGTGATAGATCATAGAGAGATGAGGTAATGAAACTGGCCAGAGGCAAAGGAAGGGTAAAGAGTCTTGATTCAGATGCTGATGGAAGCTGTTCAAGGAGTTCAAAGGTTGGACTACTTCTACAACAAACTGTCAGTATAGGTAATAGGAGGGATAAGAATTAGAAAGACCAGTGACATAGCGGCAGGACTAGAGCCAAATCATGTCTAGTATCTGAACAAAGTACATGGGGAAGGGAGAGGTGGGTCTGGAAGAGGGCATTCAGAGAAAGCGGCAGCTGCAGGCTGTGGAAGAATCCTCTTTGTAGTGCAGCAGCCCCTTAACAACATCTGTGTGTACCTGCCCCGGGCACAGCTGAGCACTCATGGTCTTGCTGAAGAGGTCAGATAGGCGGGCAGGAACACGTTACAGTTGCAGCCTGGTTTTGAGGGACTGAGGAATTTCTTTATGCCTTTGCTCTGTGTGTGTTAGAATAATCAGATGGAAGAATTGGGCCTGACAGAGTGGAAGGAAGTAGGGCTTCAGTTGTAGGGAGTTCATGCAGGGATGGCCGCGTGGGTCAATTCAGAGATCCATCTAAAGCAAAGGGAAATAGTGGGGACTATGGTTATCAGCAAGTACTTAGGGAAAGCATACAAACCAGATTATTGTCTTCAGCAGATCTCTGCTATTCTTCCCCTTAACCAAGCTGGTGTCCCAGGCTGCTTCACTTCCCCCATCTGTAATGTGTTTCTGTCTCTTGATCATCTGTGACTCCTTTCTTCATAGATCTTCTAGTTCTCCTCTACCTTTTCTGAAATGGGGGATCAAATCTGCAGATATTATTTAAGATGTGGTTGTGCTGCAGATACGTACAGAGACCTAATTCTGGTTTTATGTTTAGTTCTGTGTTCCTTCTAAAACTGAAGGAACTGAACTATGTTCAGTTTTTGACCACTGCTCAGCACTGAGATGACATCTTCAGAAATCTTACAGTGACTCTGAACTCTATCTCAGGTAGTGATACCTAATTCAGAGGTCATTACTGTATGTATATAGTTAAGACTATTTTTCTGTACGCTTTATCAGATTGAATTTCATCTTCTGGTTTGTTTGTTTTTTTTTTTTTTTTCTGAGTCAATTCAATATTGAAATATTCTTCTGTGACTCTGCAGCTTAGGACTTGACTGTTCTAAATCATTTTGCATACCATCTGCAAGCTTTGTTACCGCACACCCTCCTCTTCCCCTTCCCAGTGCATTCGCTGTCTAGGTGTGGCTTTTGAGGGATATGATACCTGTTCAGATGAACTCTCCCTATGGTAAACATACGCACTGTTTTGGGGGACTAAGAATGAAAAGGCTGGTTGCTAAATAAACTATTTTCTTTCTCCTCTCTGCCTCTTTTTGCTCTGTTGCAGAGAGCCTCTCCCTCTCTGAGCCAGAGACTTACCGCTATTTGAACCAGTCTGGTTGTGTGACTGATGAAAACCTGAATGACATAGAGATGTTCAATAAGGTCATGGTGAGTCCTGTCCTAACTCCTCCTGAACTTCTGGGCACTATCTTGGGGGCTAAACGTGCTGCAGGGTCTAGATCTCACAGGCAGAATTTATTTGCCCAAAGCCAAAATTTGGTGTTCAATGAGTCTGAAACTCAGCTCTACCTGTTTATAGTAAAAACAAGGCTCAAAGAGTGTTTTTAGAGTACAGAAATGGGGGAATTTGGGTTTGAATGATGAATAGTAATTTAGAATGATGGAGATGTCGGGGAGCATGAGCCCCACCCCATAGTGGTTCCTGGGAGCCCTTGAGATGGGCTGATGCAGGAAACCTCACACTGACCATTAGAAGGGGAACAGTTTGGTCTGAGGCTAGTGTTCTCCAGAAATGTTCTGGTGAATTTGTATCGCCTGGGCAAATGGCCATTCTGAAATACCACACATATTTCAATAGACATCTGTAACTTCACCAGAGGTTGTGGGTTTAGCAGGATGAATATGCAGTTCGCATTTTGTCTGATAAGTGGTTATCAGCCTGAGGGCTTTAATAATGTAGGTGGAACCAGATAGGTGAGGTGAGAGGAGTCAGCCTAGGATTTCAATAGCTCCTGTTCAGGTGTGATTTAAGGGAAGGAAATGTCTCCTGTACAAAACAGGTTTCAATGGTGACATGGCGTTTATACTTCAGCTGAGGAGAAGCCTGGAGGAAAGAAGGGAACTAGAACCCTGGAGTGCCCCACTGACAGGGAGAATGCTTGAAAACTGGGTCCTACCTCTCAAAGTCAATTTATGCCCCAAGAACCCTGGCTCACATGCATGCACTAAGAAAGAGGGAATGTGCCATACTTCATTATCTGGTAACTGGTTTCTAACCTTCTAGCAGTTAATGCTGAGAGCCTGGATTTAAACATTGCTATACAAATCTTTACTTCTCTAAGCTAGACTAAATTAAGGGGGTTATATGGGTCAGAATACATTAAGGAAATTATATGGAGCTGTCCAGGGAAGACAGTAAGGCAGAATGTGGAAGCAGTCCAGTGACATCTGTAACCTATATTGCCAGTGTTCAGGGAAGGATTTCCTCACACAGGCACAGACAAACATGTCCTTACTGTGACAGACAGGCAATGGCAGCAGCAAAGTCCAGCCTGAGGATAGGGCAAATGCCCACCTTCCTTAGATGGGGATAGGGGAAATGAAGGAGAGAATGAAAGACAGTGAAGATCACTGACAGATGTATAGCGGAGAGAGAGGCTGTGCCATCTCCAGTTTCACTTTGATTCATGATGACTATAATTCTGAGTTTTACATTTTATATGGGCTGGGCATGAGTGTGGTAGTTGCATTGTACTGTGGCTTTACGTGCAGCCAACATTAGCTGTATGGTTTTGCATAGACTGCCATGAAGGTGGTGGACTTCAGCACTGAAGAAATCAGAGACATCTTCAAACTTCTTTCTGGCACACTTCATCTGGGAAACATTGAATTCATGACAGCTGGCGGGGCCCAAATTACAACAAAAGCGGGTAAGTGGGACCCTGGCAACTTGGTAGACCATGCAAAGCCGCATAAAGCCCCCAACAAAGCTCTCTCCATCCTCCTTTTTCCCTCTGCTATGCTGGTCTGCAGTGCCTTTGCCAGCAGATTCCCTGCAGTTTAACCCTGCAAAAGCACTGCCACAGGATGTGTGGCTCCAGAGCACCAGTATGATTTAGCTGAGCTGTGGCCCTGTGATCTATTTGTTCTCCTGGATACTCTCAGAGTCCATGATCTCACAGTTTCTCTTTTGTGTTGAAGGAGCAGGAAGAAATAGAAACAGGGAGGAGTTTGAGATAAAAGTAGGCGGTTACAGAGTTTCCCACATCTTCCTTTGAAGCATCTGCTAGTGTGCACTCTGTTACAGTTACCCAATCTAAGCTGGTCTGGTAAAGTGAATCCCTAAACAGAAGCAATAAATATGTATTACAAGTGCTCCAGGTCTTAAGTTAATTGCCTCTCTTCTCAACACCAAATTTAGCAATCCCACGCTCAGACTGTACTATTGTGCCTTTAGGAAAACATACCTTCTCATTCAATAAATATTTTGCTGGTGCTGAGCTTCACACAGTGCTTTGCTCTTCCTGTTGTCAGCAGAAACGCTGACTTAAACGAGTGCCTGACTGTGGCCCGTAACGGCTGCTGACCTTGCCTTAGACTGGATATGTGAGCTTAGAGAATTAATAAAAGGGGAGTGTGTTTTGTGCTGGGGCTTAGTCACTTGCCTGTAGGAGTCCCTGGGATTTCCTCACTGAGCTGCAGAATGTGGATCCCCCATGACTGATGGGGACCCATGCAAGAGAAAAAAGTGTGTACTCCTTTGTTACTAGTGCTGAACATTGCCAGCGACCTCCTGGGCTTAGACGCCTTCCAGCTTTCTGAAGTACTGACGCAGAGGTCCATGATTCTGCGGGGCGAAGAGATAAGCTCCCCTCTCACTGTGGAGCAGGTAAGTGTCCTAGTGTATGCCACTGCTTCTGCCACTTCTGCATTTCCAGGCCCTCTGTATCCCTCCTGTATCATCCATTCAAGCCTAGGGCTTCCTTTACACTCCCTACGTGCTCAGCTGTGTCCTCCAAGTATTTTGCCCTTATTGGTAGGTCAGGTTCAATGTTGACTCTGCTTTTTAGGCTTTATAGGGGAGTTCACTTGCAAATGGCAATGCATGATACTGGTTTTAAGTCACCTTCACCCACCAGGTGCTCGTGTCCTGCAGAAGGTAGGTCATATGCGTTGTGGTAATTGCATGTGTGCATGCTTTTGCCTTGCAGAACTCCCAGGTTACGCTGCATTTACTGGAAGATAAAAGCTTGCACTCAGTTACCACGAAACATGTGGCAGATGGGAGGTTGTTACCCCACAGTAGCTTCTTTGTATATCCATACAACAGCAAAGGAGGACCAAATAAACTGATATGTAGTTCTCATCTTCTGAACCTGTACTGCACGCTGGAGCCAGTCCTGCTTATCTGTTACATTTCTCTGTGGTTCATTACAGCATTGTGCCTACTAACTTTAACTTGTGGTGTCACTGATCACTTGAGGGCACTCTTGGTGTTTTAGGTCCATGCAGATAACTGTAGAAAATCTTTTGTCATTAATAAAATGCAAGACACTGGGAAACATGAAATAACATTACTAGGACGGAATAAGTATCGTGTTATAGCAAAACGAACATCTGTAATGGAAACCTCATGCTGGCACGGACTGCAGAGGGTTATCAATCCAACGCCTACATTGGCAGAGAAACCAGAGTTATTAGGCTCTCTCTGACTGATGTCTGTCTAACTTTCCTTCAGATTTCCCATGGAAGGAATTTCACAGCCTCTTTAAGTATCCTGCTTTAGCTGCAGTGGAGTCTGGAGCTGAAAAGATTTTCCTCATATTTAGATTACCTTTGACATCCCAGCTGTCCACCTTACAAGCTTCCGCTTCTCTGAAGTTTTTCACGGGGTGTTCTCTTTTCTAAGCTAAACAATCCAGTTCCTTCAATGTTTCCTTATAAGTAATTTTCTAAACCTCCTCTTCTTCTGCTGTCTCTGTTTTCCCACATTTTTCAGGAAGCGGAGTGCCTATAACTGGACACTGTATTCAAGCTGAAGTCTCAGCAGTACTCATTTCCACAGAGTAGTTGCTTCTTTTCTTGCTGCGAACACACCTGCTAATGTATCACAAGCTAAGCTTTGCCTTTAAGAAATGGTATCTTTCTTTCATCGTCTGTGACCTTTCCTTGCAATAAATTTGTGGGACAATTATTTTCCAGCCTGTAGTCTGTAGTAGACATCCTCAGTATCCAGTACCACAGTTCCTCTTCTCAGCTGTCTGTCATAAATAAGCCACATCTTCCTGTATCAGTGCACAAGGATGGATAACAATTGCAGGGACACTCCATGCACTCCAGAGCAACAGTGTGCAGTTGTGGGATTTACAAGAGTTTCCCTGAAGAGAGCTTTCCTTGATAGTATAGCTATTCATGACATTTGTGCATGCTGGACCCTACGTTTACTGCTTGCAGCCCAGTGAAGTACTAAGACTGCAAAAAACTTGTTATAGCAAGTGGATGCCACTGCGTAGTTGTCTTCACTGGGTGAACCTGTTGCTCTCAACCCTGGGCCTGTAAAGCCTGTTCCGGCTGAAGCCCTCGTGTACTGTGCCCACCTATTCCCACTTCTTGTTGCAGGAACACATTGATGGGGCTGCCAGGGATTTCTCATTGTAACGGGCTCGTTGCCCGTCTGAGCTTTGACATTTCAGTGGACTGAATGGATGAAGTGGCCTGAAGGCAGGCAAAGCTGGGAGGATGAAAGGAGCCTTTGAGAATCTCATTTGAGCCATATTGTGGGGAAAGCGGCTTTGCTTACAGCTGGATGGGGAGGTCTTGTTCCTGGAAAATGAGTCCACCTTACTGTGTAGCCAGAGACACTACAGAGGCATGGCCTCGAGGGCATTCTCAGTCCCAACTAATGAGACAGACCATCTGATGGAGAGAAGAAATACCCAGAAAAGCCGTGTGTGCCCATGCTTTGAAATGTTCTGTTCTGTGGAAAAGGGAGGTTTCTGTGTGTCCTAGGCCTTGGGCTGCTGGAGAGGAGATACTACCCCGGAAGAGAAAGGCGGAGAAAAAACAGTGCAATTGGGCTGGGCCTCAGGATCTTGCTGAGAGGGGCTGAAAGGATTCAGAGGCAGTTGGCCTGTGCTATCAGCAAAGCAGAACAGGAGAGGTCATGTTATTCAGGCTTGCAAAACTGAAGGGGATGAGGGTGCATTTAAAAGAGCTCTGTCATTGCTGGTCAGGCCCACTGAAGGAATTACCCTATGTCACAGGCACAACAGAGTAAACCACCTGTAATCGATCTTGATACTGGGGGGGGGTGTGTGTTTATGAAATGACAAGATTATAGTTTTTGCCCTACTTGATTATTTCACATACTTGCTCACTCACCCCTCAGCATTACATTCATTAGATGTCGACTTCTTTTCCCAGTAGGGAGATTGCTGCTTGTCCAGGAGGGTAGGGCAGAAAGTTTTGTTGGTTCATGTTGTGTAGCTTCTTCTGGTTACCAGTCTCGGGAACTACCAGCCAAGGTCCTTGGGCATACCCTGACATTTGTCTCTACATGTCTCTGATCTCCAGGATCTTTCCCCACTTCCAGCATCTTTGCCGCCTTCTTTCCTGCCCCCTTTTTGCACTCTCTGGGATCATGTCTTCTTTATGGGAACCCTTATTTTTGGCCTCCTCTTCTTTCCAGAACCCTAAGCCCTGGTTTCCCAGTCTAAATAGTTTATGTGCAGAGGGACAGCATGCGATCAGCCTCTTAATTTGCAGTTCTGTCTCATACCTCTTTACTAATTAGAGGATTTGGGGTGTGCCACTTCTGTTTAGTCCACGTGTTATTAAAACTTAAAACCAGCCCATTCCTGGGCTATCAAGTAGCAGGCTTTTGCCTGAGATTTCAGAAGTTCAGTTTCAGACATTCATCCACACACTTACATGCATGCGATTATCTACTGCCTGTTAGTTGCTGTAAGTTATTTTTTCCACCTGTGAAGCTTGGTTATGATCACTGTATGGAATGTTGGGTCAGCTCCAGAAAGGTGTCTCAACCCATGCTCTTCTGGGGCATGTGTCTTGGCTGTTGGCCAACCTACCCTGGTTTCCAGTGAGATAATGCTGTTTGCAGGAAAGTTTTGGAGAGGGGATTTTTGAGGCTAACTTGGTGACAGAATACTCTGTAAAATCATGCACTACCAGTTTTTGGAAAACTGAGCGGACACCCATTTGACAGCTCTACTAGGAGTACTGAACTGAGATAGTTCACCTGTCACTGCAAATATTGGCTCAGGTGATGCAAATGACTTCTGCAGGCTTAGTCATGAGGTATTTTGCCATTTTCCCTGCCCCAGCACTTGTTCCAAAAGATGTCTGTGATTTTGTTACCTCCTTCAGCCTCTCAAGTTCAGTTACCCAAAGGTCATACATGGTACATCTGTGTGTGGCTGGGCTATTTGCAAACTTGAATGTTGACTGTATATGTGAATACTGCACTATGCACTACCAGTACAGAGGCTGAGACATCTAAAAAGGAGTGGAGGAACCTGAAGTCCCATAGAGATGTGTGGTGCCCCTTATGCCTTCTCTTCTCTCTGTGACTCATTTTTTCTCTCTGCATACAGGCAGCTGACTCCAGGGACTCCCTCTCTATGGCACTGTATTCCCAGTGTTTTTCGTGGCTCATCAGCAAGATTAATACAAAGATCAAAGGCAAGGAAAACTTTAAGTCTGTGGGCATCCTGGATATCTTTGGCTTCGAGAACTTTCAGGTAAGGATTTTGTCTTTTGCAGGGTGGGTTGGTTTTGGAGATGTCAGTGCATATAGGAAGGAATTTTGGTAGGATTCCATCCTGTTTAGGTTAGCATAGGGCACTCTGGGATTTCTCCGCTGCCACTTCTCTCTGGGAGCAGCAAGATCTGTTTAGCTGCCCACTTCTGCCACCTGTATTCATGTAGGCTGATGTTGAAGGTCTGGTTTGTGACACAGACCCTAAGTAGACGTGCTGTGATAGGTAATACTGAATTTTTGACTTGCAGACAAATAAATGTCTAACTCCTGTATGCATGTTGTTTGTTTACATCTGTTTTGCCTTGTGTTGACAATCCTGCGCATAATCCTTCTGATTGCAACTGATGAGGGATGTATGTTGAGCAGCCGTATAGTGACTGCTCAGATATTTCATTGAAGAGAAAGCCCAGTGACCTAACACTTAGGGAATTATATTTGTTTCTTTCTAAGAAGAACAGAAATGTGATTGTCTTTAGCATCCTTTACTACCATTTAGGCCTACTGAATTAACCTTTCATGAGCTACAAAAGCTGTTCTCCTAGTGGACCTCCCCATACTGTCCTCCTCATGTCCACCTGACACCCCTTGCCTCTGTTTTCCGGCTTTATTCCAGGCCTGGCACCTTCCCCGTTGCTGTTATAGATTCTTTTAGAGCCCAGGGACAAGAATGTAAAGTTTTATAATCTTTGTTTCTTCTTACAGGTGAATCGTTTTGAGCAGTTTAACATTAACTATGCAAACGAGAAACTCCAGGAATATTTCAACAAACACATCTTCTCCTTGGAGCAGCTGGAGTACAACAGGTGACAAATGGAGGGAGTGGCCCCCTGTTGCTTTCTTGGGTGGTGGAATGAAGGACATCATTCCTCTATGCTCTCCTGTCCCTACTGCTAAGGCAGGAGAGGCAGCTGGGCCTTAGTGCAACCCCGACTGAGGATGTGTCTCTGTAAGCACTATCCACGTGCTTTGCCAGCACAGGCCACTTGTCTCCAAACAAAAGATTCGCTTCTCTCTCTCAGCTCAATGGGAAAATCTTGGGCTTTTAACCCATTAGAACACATGGTCACTGGCCTTATTGCTGACTTCGGTCATGATTTACCTAAGGTAGTGGTGGTGTTATGCAGCTGGAATCTTGGTGTGCAAAAAGTAAAGTCCCTAAAGACAGATGGATAGATACCCGACAGCTCTTTCTGTCCTAGGGCTCTTTTCCTCAGCAAGGAAATTTAAATCAGGCTGTTTCCTGAGCTTAAAGAGCATGGGGCCTTCTGCGCAGCTGTTTCTCTTCTGTGGGCTTCATTTTGCATTGTGTTTTGTGAAGTACCTGGGATGTTCTAGAGTATTTCTGCTTCTAGAGAAGGCTGCTAGACAAATACTTCAGTTCTTGCTCTGAAACAGAAGCCTTTATGTTTGTGAATGCAGCAATTGAATAGGGTCAGTGAGGGCAAATGAGAGCAGCCTTGTAAAGGGAGACAGTTGAATAGGCAATTCATGAAATTCTAAAGATTACAAAACTGCAAGGCTATTTATGCACTCACTTCCCAGGCCAGTTCCACCATTGCAGGAAGCTTGTGTTAAGAATGGTATCATCGTGACAAAAGATCTTTTCCTGATGATTACATAGGAGTTTAAGTTCTGTGGCTGAACTTGGGAAAGGACAAGGGAATTTTCTTACTGACTGCTCATCACGTTATTTTAGGGTGATGTGATTAAAGCTCATCTTTCACAGTATCGGCTCTGCTTCCTCAGGTATAGTAAGTAGCTCCATGTATTTCACAAGGAGTCTGTGGCACTAGAGACAACTTGATTCGTTTGTGATTTGATTTGTTTCAGAAAACTCTGCTCCCTTCAATTCTGGAAGGTCTTCTTGCTCTTAGAAGGAATCCAAGAGGTCTTTTTGTAAAAATATACGGTCTGACACTCATTGTTGCAAAAATCTGAAACACTGTGAACTGTTATTTTTTGTCATTAAGTGGATAAGCTATTCTGTTTCCTGTGGGGGATAGATCTTTCCATTCTTCAGAAATTGTTCCAGTTTGTTGCTTCCAACTGTTGCACGCAGGTTTCTGAATGCTTTGAACCTGAAAGTATGAAGCCTAGGCCGAAGGGTTTGTAGACAACAGCTTTTCTATGTTCAAAATGTTAGCCTTCACCTGAAAGGCGTCTGTGTCAGAATGTCAGCAAGTAGCTTCACACATAGCCTGTAGTCTTCCCTGGATTCCTGAGCAAGAGTTATTGCCAGGCTCCTCTGAATTCTGAAAACAGAAACAGCCTGTATAATGGGAGTGTAAGAAGGTGGTAGAAGGGGGGAAAACACATTCAGCACAGATTTACAGAACTTCATGGATGATTTTCAAAGCACGCTTATTGCACTGCTGTGCCTACATCAGCTCCCATTCTGAAAGACGCAGGGCCACCCTGTAGGTCCCCTGCATGTCAGGCCAAAACTTATCTGTAACATCCTCTCCAAAACTCTCCCTGAAAATTTGCTGCTGTCTCTTCTTCTGGTGGACCTATGAATTGTGGTTCAGTCTTCTGGCAGATGTGCTTCAGGCCTGTTTTCCAGATTGGTGGGTCAGCAGTTGACTCTTGAAGCTGTGTAGCAAACTGTCCGTCATCACCACCGCTGGGGCTGATGCTCATCCCTCGTGAAAGAACAACTGAGAACAAATACAATTTCTTAGTGCTTGGTGTGGAATTTGCTCAAAGGCTACAAGATGAGCATCAGTCTAAATCACTGGGATGGCTATGAAAGGCTGTCTCCTCCTTCCAGCTCCTTGTGTTAGCAGCGAATTGTGTGTCCTATTCCTTTTCCTCAGCCATGGCAAAGCCTAATTCCTGCAAATCGCCTTGAGTCCTGGGATAGCTGTTGTGCTCAGCTGCTCCTGTTCTCCTGCATCTCAGGGCATTGGACCTTGCATTTCACATCTTTGTTCTGTTTGTTCTTGACTGTCAGGGAAGGGATAAACTGGGAAGCCATTGACTGGATGGATAATGCAGAGTGCCTGGACCTTATTGAGAAGGTGAGCAGTTACCTGTGACACTTTCCAGGGATCACAAAGGGGACTGCTGATTGTCTTGAGACGTTCTCTGGGGTTTCCTGGTTTTAAAACCAGGTAGTTGCTTAGATCCTCTTCCCATCATGACCCAGCAAAAGTATGAGCTGTTCTAGCCATAGTCACCCTGGCTCATGAAAGCAGATCTCTGGTCATTGAGAGCAAGCTTAGGGAGGGTGGCATAGTTTTAGACAGGGAGCAGTGTTTAAGTAAAACCTTAATGTGAATTGTTTATAAATCTCCACTTATGTTCTGCTTGCTGAATGCATTGACTGGCCAGAATTCTGCTTTCAGCTCGAGCTTTGCTGGTTGTAGCTCAGGGGTTATTGCTCAATGTGCTGTCCAGATCTCCAGTTCTTGGCTTGCTGCTGTGTATTTAAAGCTTTTGCTGACTGTAAAAGCCCGTCTCTTGTTTGGCTGTAGAAACTGGGTCTGCTGGCTTTGGTGAATGAAGAGAGTCGATTCCCCAAAGGCACAGACAACACCCTTCTGGAAAAACTTCACAGCCAGCATATGGTAAGTAAGAAAATAACCCGGCAGGCAAATGATCAGTATGTTAGCCCCATCAGTATTTCAAAACTGAGAATGAAGGGTTTGTTGATGTAGAATATGTGCTTTGTGCAGGAAATTTAAAATACCTTAGGCCCGAACCTGCGAGTGTTTAGTAAGGCTGCACTGAACAAAAGTAATATGTGAAGAAACCTGCAAATGGTCTCTTGTGCACACAGACGGAGGGAGGGTGCCTTCCACAGGCTGTGGGTAGAGGAGATTGGAATTTGTAGCATGGGATGGAGGTCAGGTTCTGCTGGTCTGCAGCAGGACACGAGGCAGCACCCCAGGCACAGGATGCGGCTGCACAGTGTGCATGGGTTTCTCTTGCCAGCTGACTCACAGGAGTCTGCTCCAGAGCACGTCAAATCTCTGTCTCCTGGGGCTGGGGATGGCTTTTGCCTCATGACTTTTAAAGAAAGCTCTCTTATTGTTCCTAATTAATTAAATTCTTTCCTTCTCTTGTATTCTGGACACAGGAGTAAAAGGGCTTTTTCATGCAGGTCAGAAAGTTATCCTGGGGACACAGAAACCACAGTGAGATCGCTGTAGCAATCTCTTACCCTGTCTCTGGTACAGCCAACACTCTGTTCTTAATAGCAAATAGGCTGAAAACAAAGCAAATTAAACCCTCTAGCATGGACTTACAGAATAATTTACTGCTTTGGTAAGAACATTGTCAGCTTATATGTTTCCTAGTCCTCTAATTCAGGCTTCATCCTAGCCTGAAAACATATGAATTTGTATCCTTTATCCAACATTTTTTTTTTTTTGAATTGGCATAGATGCAGATATTCTCATTTTTCATATTTGCATCTAACTCTGCTAGTAATACTCATGATTACAAATTGGATACAATAGCAATGCCTTCGGGTTGGCTATTTATGCACAGTTTTGTGGAAATATTTCCTTTCTTCAGGCTTAAATTGATGCCTTCAATTTAGTCCCCTGTGGCTTTCCTTGTATTAGAGGTCAAGGTATATGAGAATGCCTGATTTATCTTTTTTATTGTTGGTATTTTGTTAACTTTTAATATACAACTTATGAATATTTTTAATACATGACTTCTTTTGAGTTTTCTTTCTGAACTGTCCCAACCTCTTCAGTTTGTCTCCAAATGGAGAAATTTCAAAGTTCCTTTTTTGTTCTGCTGTTTGTGTCTGAATTCCTCTACATCTTTTCTCTATTCTTTTCTGAGATAAATAATCAGACCAGAATGCAGTTCCCTTGGTAAGAAGGTACCTGTGGTTTATTGTACAGCAGCATGAGACTGTCAGTATTATTTTCCATTCCTTTATGCCCCACAACATTTTGGTTGCTATTTTTGGTGATTTCTGTGCATTGAGTAGCCTTTTCATTAAGCTGTTCATAGTGTCACATCTGTCTGCTTTGAGGGGATAGCAGTTAATGTGGAACCCTGGGGAGCTTATGAGAGATGGAAGAGGCTGAGGAGTTGAAGTGCAGGCAGGAATGATGAAGTAGGTAGAGCTCGAGGGTTTGCATTATTTGAAGGCAAAAGTGGTTTTTGTACCAGTTAAAAGTCTCCAGCGCTCGCCAGAAGAGCACTGGAAGGCATCCAGCCAGCGTTGCTGGAAAGCCTGAAGGAACTTATAAGAGAACTAGTCCTCTGTGTTTTCTGTGGATTGCAGTAGGCTTAAGGAGGAAAAGCATAGAGCTTTTCCTCCTTAAGGAAAGAGGGATTTAAGAGAATATGACCTCTGATACCACAGGAGAGAGGAGCAATAGGGGAGACAGGAGAAGGAACAGAAGTGTTATAGGCATGGATGAAATACTTGGGCTTGGTAGAGAGGGAGGGGAGAGGAGGCTGCCAATCCACATGAGAGAGTCAGTAACAGTCACATTCGGAGTGAAGAGAGGGAAGTTTGTGGCTGAAAAAAGACGACTGGATTGGGGAAAGGGAAGAGCAAAGAGACTGAGTCAATATGAAAAGGGAAAAAGGCAATGAAAATGTTTTCAGTAGCACTAACAAATTATCAGGGTCAGAAGCCATCCACCCAATACTGCTAAGAGAACTTGAAGATGAAAGAGCTGAATTACTAGCAGTATTGTACAACATCTTACTTAAAATTTTCTTAGGACTTGTATCTGAGAACGTGGGAAATTATTTTAATATTTAGAATGTATTCTAGGAAATTATAGGCCTGTAATCCCTATTCTACTATGGGCAAATTCACAGAATGTGAGGTCAGTTACCTCAGTGGAGGGAGGCCTGTAAGACTTTGTCCCATATGAGCACTGAGGTGGCAGTTGTCTGATGATTCATGGCCAAGGCTGGACTGTGAGGGGCCTTATAAGACTGACTGGGTGTGAGGTGAAGACGAAAAGCAGTGTAGATAAATGTAAAATGGTGTGCCTGAAGGAAAACAGTCTCAGTTTCACATTTGAAATGATGGCCCCTGAGCTGATTGCTGCTTTTCAGGGGCAAGACCCAGACAAAGGTCATGATGGATAGTTCCATGGAAACATCAGCACGGTGCTCAGTGGTGATAAAAAACCCAGACCAAGTATTAGAAATTCTTAGGAAAGAAACAGAATAGAAGCAGAAAACATTGTTATGGCACTGTATAATCCATGGATCACCTGCACTTTGAACAGGGTACAGCACTGAGCCCCTCCACTCAAGAAGGGGTTGTATCAGATCTGGTAAACACATCTGGGACAGCTTTAGTATTATGGAAAACTATGTTGAAGGGACCCTGCAGGGTGGAGAAAAGATGACTTAGGGTGGGGGTGATGGGTTTAAAAGTCACACATGGCCCATAGAAGACAAATGGCACTAATGGGAGCCAGGCTTAAAACCAACCAGCTGTAGTTCCCTGTGTGGTTGGTTGAAAGCTCCCTGCAAATGGACACTCTGGATGCAGGAAGGCTGCATGGGTTCAGGTGTGGAATGGGCAAGTATTTCAAAGAGAAATCCACTTGGGATTGCTAGTTAGGCAGATGTCATGAAAATAATTGGCGTTTGAGAGAGTATTAGGATGAAAGTATCATTTGCTTGCCTTGTTCTTACTGTACCCTACATAGCCACTGATGGAGGCAGAATGCTCAGCTGGGTGGACCATTGGTCACAAGTAGCACGGCTGTTCTTACATAGTTAACTGTTTTCACAGAACAAAGAAAGGAGGGGGGAAATGAGAGCATAGAACAGCTAGTAAGAGAGAGAAAAAAAGAATATCGAAAAAAGGGGGAGAGAGGTACAAAGAGGTGAAATACAGAGGAAGAAAGGAGATTGGTATGATAGTTCCTTTGACAAAGAAAAGATGTGTAGGTGTTCTGCAAAGCTGCCATCTTCCCTGCATCCTGATCCCATGTCCTGCACCACATAGTTTGTGTGGAGCCCAGTCTCCTCAGGTGTCAGATGCAAGAATTAACATTTCATCCATGGCATCATGCCTGCCCAACCTTGATTCTGCAAGCCCTTGCTCACATGAGGAATGCCTTGAGGGGCTGGATTTCTCCATCTTATTGGAATAAAATATTTGTAATGTAGCTGCAGATAGCTACAGCAGATGTGGTCGGGCTCTGCAACAGCTAAGGTCCTTGCCCATCCCAATATTGTCATAGTCATGGCAGAGTTCCTGACTGAGCCTATTTGTTCTTACACTGGCATTATAAGAAGACTTCTTTTTCTTTCATTTCAGAGCAACCACTACTATGTGAAGCCTCGGGTAACAGACCATCAGTTTGGCATAAGACATTATGCTGGGGAGGTAGGTGTTCATGGTGTATCTGTGGGATGCTTTGTATTTTGGGCTTGAGGTCCTGTATTTTAGATTGCAAAAATTAAGACTGCCTCCCAGAGCTGTGTGTTTCTGCAGTTAGTGCCCCATACCAGAGCACAGGGAGTATGATGGGCTTAAAATAGCATGTCATTCTCCAGTACTGTATTCTCCAGCTTGGATGTTTGTTTGAGTTTGTGAGGTAACTTTTGGGTTGGGGGATAAACTCCTCCTTAATTCTGTTATTCATGCTGTCTTTTCTTGGACATTCACAAACAAACAAAACCCGAAGTAGAAGTCACAAGGAAAATTTGCGTTTTGGGGAGGAGGAGAAAAGGCTAAATACCTATTGCAAAAAGGAAAAGGTCTCCAAGCCTTCAAGGTTAAATGCTACTCTTTGTTGTGGAGAGATATGGAGCAGCCAGAGCAGCTGCACACTAAAGAAGGGCTAACCTCCTCCTAGAATCGTATCTACTGAGCACTAGTGGTTGGGAGGTCAGGGCACTGGGTGGCACAGTTAGTATTTCTCAAAGTGAATGGAGTTCCTCACACCTCGCAGACGATTTCCGCACACACATCCCAGGCAAATCTGTGCAGCTGTTTCACTTCACTCCTACTTTTGAGGGGTTTTGTGGTGGGTTTTTTTTGTTGTGGTTTTTTTTTTTTTAATTGATGGCTAAAAGCCATTTTCTTGCCAGTAACTGCAGGGCTCTGGAGCTCTTTGACACCCAAAATTCAGATCTTGGCACATGCCTGCAGCGTTACTGTGTAGGTTTTGTGCATTGGTATGTTAATGTAAAAGTGCTTAATGATTTGTATGGCACTATTCTAGTGGCTCTGTCTGCGTTGCAGGTGCTATATGATGTGAGAGGCTTTCTGGAGAAGAACAGAGATACCTTTCGAGATGACATTTTGAACATGCTGAAAGACAGCAGGTATGCCCCCCTTAGGCTTCTGAGGATGCCACAACTGTTGGGCTGGACTAAGCCACATTCATGTAATAACCAGGCCAAGGAAAGCAGTTGCTTTTGTCGGTGCATCAGGAATCATTCTTCATCATTCTTCTATTTGTGCTTAAGTGTCTTGGCAAAAGAAAGGAGAGCTGGAGAAGTCAGATGAGGCACAAATTTAATAGTACTTTTGTTGTCCCAGTTTTGAAAAGAGCTACAAAAGCGTGACAGAAATCCCTCCAGGCAATGCTGGTTTTCTCCCTTCTCTCTTCTCCCTTTCCTCTTCTTCCTCTTACCTCCCTGTCCCAACAATGGTAAGTTTGCCCCTGAATGAGTCAAGGCTCTTTGCCATGCTGTCAAATGCCAGCCTTTGTACACAGGCTGCTTGTTTTCCAGCCTGCTTGTTAGTGGAGCTTCCGTCCTTATCCGGAGGCAGACTGAGCCCTTGCTGTGGGACCGGGCATGGCCCCTAATACTATAACCCAGTGCTGCAACATGACCCGAGAGAAATGAGCTGACGTTAACCTTGAGCAAGGTCTGGAAGACAAACGTGGGGCCTAGTAGGAGAGAGGTATTTAATAACATGGTGGACCCTAGAAGTTTTTGAGTAGCAACTCTACCACATGCCTCTTACCACAGTCCATGTATTGCCTTTGGGCTCCAGCCTGATGGGACTTTCTCAGAATTGCATCTTCTTCTCTCAAGCCTGCTTCAGAGTTTGCACTGTGAGCAGCCTTGAAACAACCTGAAGGAGCTGAGAGTATGAGCTGCTCATAGCTACCTTACTTGGACAGTGGCATCTGGGGAACATTTTATTAAAGGCTTGAAGCCAGAATTGTGGTCATCATTGTCCAGCAAAATAGAAGGATTCAGGGTTTCAACAGGCCAGAAAGAGAAATTCTGCTAGAAGCACTCATAACATTAAACTGGCACAAGCAGAGCTGGAGAATTTTGTGCAACTTTGTAAGAAACAGCACCACTATCTAAGGAGTGGCAAAATGGTGGAAGATTGCCCAGAGCTGACCTATACTGAGGGTAGCCCTAGAAGTGCTCTGGCCGCAGAAGGGCTGTGGTTGCAATTGCATGAGCATGTCATGGATGCTAGACATGAGAGGCAGGTCGGGAGGGGCATGACAGCACAGTCTAGCTGGAGTACCTTCAAGGTAATTCTGCCTGGGGGCATATAGCTCGAGGGAGGTGTCCTAGCTGGTGCAGAATGGAGATCTTCCTTGTGTAATATGCAGCTTGACAGTGTAAGATGGGATTTCTGGTTTTGCAGCTGAGTGTGGTGTATAGGGCAGCCCACGGGGTCTGGGCAGCCACATGGAAAGTACTAATTTCCTCAGTGAAGTGCCCAGCTGAACTGCCTC